GATGGATGGATTTCAGTAATAGATTTATAAGTATGACTTTGTTACCCTGCCACTCGTTCATCATGCGTTCTGTGGGAGCGTTACGGATGGTGCGTCCTTGGATCCCTTTCCCCCTTCCTCCGTGTGTTTACATGTGAACATATCGATTAACGCTCGACAGTAAAGTCTGTACGTGCAGTTCGAGATTAAGTTATGTACGATCGCTGAAAGCTACCGCTCTGACGCTGAGAAATAAATATCAAGAGTGGACTAGCAAAGCGCTAATGCGAAGAGTGCAATGCAATTTCAGTTCTTTTTTGCGAAGCCCTACTTTTCATCACTATACATGGCACTAGGCTATAACGGAAGCGATCTTGTGTCGTGGTGGTACATTTGTCGAATTGGTCAGCTTCGAACCACCGGAGGTGCCATTTTCGATTCCTGCTGTAGGGCAATCTTTTTTCTATTCACAAATTTCCTAGATGCTGGAAATTTATCACGCATTGCTTCAGATCTTGGTTGCTCAGTTGGTAGAGCTTCGAACTCAGATCCGATAGGTCTTGAGTTCAAGCCCAGGTCGCGGTCACTCGCGCTTCTTTCTTCTGAGGTTGGTAAATAAGTACTTCTCTCTGGGAAGGGAGCAGGAGAATACACGCTGCGTTTGCTACGTAGCTGTAGATTCTCTTTAAAAAGAAGGCACTCCTGACTGGAAATGGAGAAATGGAGATCAGAACTGCCCCACCAACTTCATGGAAAGAAGGGCACCAAAATGACACATTCATTAAAATGAAGGAAGGCCGACTTTCTAACGGTGACAAACTTTCGTTTCCTTTTGTTTATTTTACATCTGATAGTAGATTTCAAAGAAGTGTGGAGTTACATCGTTTATTTTCGTGATATAAATTGTATGTACCGGTGCTTAAGTGGATCACTGTGAGGATGTGTTTTAGGTCTCAGACTACTTGTAAGCAACGAGACGGAACTGCAGATGTTTCAGCACCGTTCTTTGACCGAATATTGTAATGCCGGAAGCAGCGGTAGCGAAACCCAGCCTCCACAGTTTCATGCATCGATTGGGAGCTACGCCACCGACGAGTCCAACATCGACAAAATGTGTCAGTGGGACTGTATTTGGAGCACCACGTAAGTTTTCAATTATTTTTACCAATTTGTTTACCAGTTTCGAAAGGATGATAGTGGATCCCCTAATTTTTTAACTGCCGTTCTTCCACTATCCAGCGAGTTATGTGATAGGTTCGCGAGGGTCGAGTGCATTTGGTCTAATATTTGTGCTGCAATAGGAATAGCCCTTTTTATTAAAAAAAATATTCCTGCATCTTGCCTGATTATTGCTCTTTTATGGCAGTTGCTTTAACTAAGGAACAAAATCGATGCTTAAACTGATTACAGCTATTTTGGCGTCACTGCATAATGAACTTTGAAGGTAGGATGACGTTAGGAATAATCTACTCTTTTCCAGGCACGGGTGACTTCACTAGAGGTGTAGAAGATCGTTGGTTACGAAAAGGTGGTTGACCCTGTTAGCAAAACTAGTTCAGCATAGACCATTTGCTCCAACCCGTGAATTTCTCATGTTTGAATCGAAAGACGGTAGAGTAGACATCGACCAGAAGATCGGCATGCAACATGAAGGACCTAGCTTTATGCAGATCTGCTTTCAAGACATTGATATCTTCATCTGCGATGCAGTCAGTGGCGCTTTATGCTGAAGATGTTGAAAAAGTTGCGAATTCAGCGATGTCACAAGCCACAGACGTTTCGTTGATGCAGGGTGTCATAACGATGATGGCAGTAAACACACAAAACAACATCTGTCCTATGGCTACTGCACTACGCTGATCTGTTAAGGAAATGCGGTTGAAGCACACATGAAAGGGCGGGCACATGCTGCACGCCTAACTTCAAGAAATAAGAGCGTTTCATATGGCTTCCGTAATACAAGTTCAAAACAGAGCATTATTCATACGACAAAGAACATTTGGTTCGTTCTTGTTGCGTTGTTCGCAGAGAATGACGAAGGCACA